AGTGCGAGAAGAGCGTGGCTGGAGAGCGAAAGGGATTGGCACTTCAACATACGTCAACCTCTTTTACGATTTTAAGTACTGCCAGGGACACCAGAAAGATGGCTGGCTTTTTTGGACCACGACGTCTCATGATACATTGCGAGCAGACTCTACGTATCCCAGTTCTTCGGTCGCTTGTTCGCTGAGGGTCGTGACAGGATTGTTCGATTTGAAGATCACGCGAATGTTTGAGCGGAAGAGCTGCATCGCTGGATGCATCCTCGGGCAAGGCATGGCTTGAAAAGTTCGCAGCTGCTGACTACCTGGTAACCTCTCCTCACAAGCCGCGGCTGATACAGCGTCATTTTCCGTCTGGGTACTAGTGGCTGATGAGTCACGAGCCAGACAGCCAGGCGTGGTCCCTGGTTGCCATCTCCCACAGCACAAGACACGCAGAAGCTCGTCGTCGGTTTCCCGCTACAATGTTAACCGGCCATGAGCTGCAGAAAGTGGCATCAGCCGCCGTCCTGCCTGTTCCAATCACAGTCGCACGCGGGCCAAAGGTTTTCTGAACAGCAATTGTGCTGTCGTGATCTTAAATGGTGATGCTCCAGTGGCGGGTGGCAAGAAGTGCGGGCAGACCGCGTTGTTTCCCGTTGTAGGGGTCACCCCGCTGGTCTTTGAGGCTTTAAAGAAGCGTCCCGGGTATACTCACCAAAAGCAACATTGTGGATGTGAATCTAACGCTAGTTGATTGCTGCGGTTTACAGCTTCTCGGGACGATGCGCTTTTGAAGGCCCTGCAGTCGTGTGAATTTGTGACTGGAAGCTCTACTTTCTGATGCGGGCCCGTGTGAGTCGCTCATGATGGACTGTCTGCACAGAGTCTGCGATGCAGCAGAGGATCAAGGCTGAGTGCAGTGAGCGGTGGTTTCGGATCTGATTGTGGTGATGCTTAATTTGCACAGCTTCCATTTAAGTTGTTTCGCCAACATTGCATCTCTTGTGACTCTCGGGGATGCGCTATACATAGCTGTAGCAGGGCCAGCGCAAAACGCACACGCCGCGGCAATACAACGTCCCTTGCACCACGCACCATTGGGCATTTGCTTACTCTGGGCAGCACTGCACTTCCTTGAGTGTGGCAGCATGTAAAATTCGTAAATCTAAACGGTGTCTCCTGGTAGCATCAGGCTTGTGCGAAGCCATGGGCGGTGCACAAGCATTGCTGTGCTCCTGCTGGGAGCGCCAGAAGCTGCCCACAGAAATCCCACCTGGACCAGCTCCCCCTCCAACACGCACCCACGAGCCCTCGGCAAGTGCGGCTGCAGCTGACGTAGGCGAAGACGATGAAGAGGCGGACTTCGATCTTCACACGGCGAACACCTTCTTGGAGTATCGCCAGGTGGCATGCATAAAAAAGCGCAGCCACAGCATGCCAAAAAGCATGCGACCATGCAGAGTCGAGACGGTCATTCCTGCGGCGGCAGGCAACATGGAGGCTCACGACAAGGTTAGTCGTGTTCCCGAAATGCCGCCCCTGGATGATCGGTTCGAGCCGTTCTTAACCCCTGAGATGGTTTCGGCAGAGCGGCGCTGGAAGCGCGAGGTTCTGGGGCGGCTGGCGTGGCGAAACGTGCCAGCCAGGCCTCATAGCTGTGCGTATACATGCACGCAATGCTGCCAGTTGTCGAACGACAGTTGGCGACTGGCATCAATTGATCCAGTGAGGGTTCCGGGACATGCTGACCCCTGCAGGGCTCTACATATCATGCCTAGACTTCCCGAGCGTGCGATTGTGGGATGGCGAAGAGGCACAGCCCAGTGAACGCAGACCGTGGAAACAAGAAGCGCCGCGTCGCTGCAAGCCGGGAAGTTTGGCATGAGAGAAGTTTGCGGCTGAAGCCGTCCGTGATTGCTGCACTTCAAGCTCCGATACGATTTTATACTAGGGACCCCAGAAAGATGTCTGGTACTTTTGGCATTAATCTCAAGATCAAGGGCCTGATGGCAACCCCGATGTCTCATCTGATACATTGCGAAGGGTGCGTGGCTGGAGACTTTTAGGGATTGTTGCACTTCAAGCTCCGATGCGGTTCTCTGCCAGGGACCCCAGAAAGACGGCTGGTACTTTTGGCATTAATCTCATGGTCAAGGGCCTGATGGCAACCACGACGTCTCATGATACAGTGCGAGAAGAGCGTGGCTGGAGAG